AAAAGGTAATTAAGGGTTAGTGCGAAATATTAATCTGGGAAAGATATTCGTAAGCGGCGAATGAAAATGGTGTAATCAATGTATCAGGTTAAGATCGTGCGTCAAGTGATGAAGGGGAAATTTTACTACACGGTAATTAGGTGGTTTTAAATCAATGAAGAGTATTAAGTGTACAATGCAAATTCTAGTACATGGCATTGAATGTTTATTATTATTGTAAAGCTTAAATTACATGAATAAAAGTAATATAAAAAAAAATTGCTAATTTTTTGTTTGTTATACTTTGTGTCTGTGAATGTGATAGTCATATACATAGGCTAATACTAACATAAATAATCATGGAGACATTCTGGCAAGAATAATCCAATATATTAAAGTTTATAACAAGCTTCCACATCGGTGAAATGTTATATAGAAGCAAATCTTACTCTATCTGATCATTTACTTTGATGCAGAGCTCTCCATTTTGCTGCTTTGCTTGAAACTAACATTGATGAATTCAAAGTTTCGAATGGATGGGTGACTAACTTTAAGTCACGATATAAATCCATGAATATTACTGTATATGTGTGCGCGAATCGGATAAATACCGAAGAAAGTTTAATACGCATACGAGGTACATGACCTGGAAGATTTACACATGGGATAATAATTTTGATTTAATTGTTAATACTCAATTTTGTGAATTACGATCCAATGGCTGTCCTATTCCTTGATTGAATGCTGCCCCCAAAGGCGAGAGCTCTTCAAGTTGACAGAAATTTCGATGGGCATCTCGTTTTCTTAAAGAATGATGGTGGTTTGGATCTTTACTAAGATATTCGGCTTTACGTTTTAGGATATCATCACAACTCAAATTGAGCTGGCATTTGTTCTTAAGTTCGGATTTTCTCTCTTGATATTACACGGTTCAATCTTCTCAGCAATACTTAATGTCTTTTCGCTTTATTACGATCTTCTGTGCGCTCGGTATTCAGGTTTCCGTTTGAGTTTAGGTCATTGGTTTATTGTTTTGAATTGTAAGTGTTACTGATGATAAAGTTTCGGATTATCGAGGTAATTTCATTATTAATATTAATGAATTGAGACCAGAAATTTTCTTCGGGTTAACGAGATCCAGATTAACTAGGTTGACTAAGTAGTAAGAATAGTGGCAAATAGAAAACGAGAAACATTTAAGTTGAACGTATGTGTCTATTCATAAGTTAGTTAGTTCTCTCTAATGACTAAAAATTATAAGATTAACTGTAAGACAGATCGAGCGCAATTCCCATTTTATCAAAATCGGACGACTAGTGATGTTGTAAATTGCAAATATAAATTCAGTAATAATAGCAAAGAAGCGTCCGTGAGAGAGGAAATAAATTCTGCCGAGAGGGGTTTTCTCAAATTAGCTCGTATCGCTAAATATATTATATGCGCGCTTCTTTTCTACTCCCTACACGACGTATCTATCTCGATAATAGGGTCTTAATTAATATTCGTTCTTGAAGCGCTAATCTCGAAATTAACGAACACACTGCAATGACAACTTTTTTCAGCGATAAACGGCTGGAATTTGTTCCTGCAACGAGATAATTAAATATCAAGTCTCACAGGCTTGTCAATAGTTAGTATCGTGAAAGAAAATAAATGAAGTTCAGTGTATAAGATCGATCGGAATAATATTTATTTTATAATAATAGTTAGAATGAACACGGTCATCATGCATAATGATAGCCCAATAAAATATGATGGCTTGTGTGACTCGTAGTAGTCACAGGTCTGCCACTACGTGTCGCCTTCTACTGACGCTCCCATTAAGACGTGCTTCAAGACGTATCAATCGGGCGAACGGTCGTATTTCCATTTTCTTTGCGAGCAACCGGCAGCAATTATTGACGTAGATCCATTTTCAATCAGTTTATAATTGAAGCGGCGAAAGCCATGCTGGAATGGAAAGCAAAGGTAATCCATTGGCGAATGGTGTGGATCCTCTTAGAATAGTCACTACCATAAGTAAGAGGTTATCGGTGCGTGTGGGCATGTCACCCTCCTTATTTGCAGCATTAATGGCTGTAGTTGCTCCCTCTTGGTCCCTACCATAAGGACGATGTATGGTGCGCGTGCTTGCACTCTCCTTATCTGCACCATTAACGGCTGTAGACATCCCCTGCTGGTCACTACCAGATATCGGGAGTGCATCAGAGCGTGCATTGGACTCTTGTCTTTGGACTCCTGTCCTTGCCCTCTTTCCGCAGTGCTAGCCAATTTTCTTTTCATCTGTCTTTTTATCTATTAACTATTGAAAGAGCAAATTGACGGAATATTAGAAGAGCTTGATTCAGG